AATATCTATAAGGCGACTTCTGCACAGAGCTTTCAAGTGTTCAGAGCAGTTCTCTGGCTTGCAGTCCTTATGACGACCCCGTAAGGCGAGTCAGTATTATCATCGCACCTGCCCCTATTCTGCAGATCAGGGGCGCCATCTTGTCCCCTGGAACGTGGGTGCCCATCGCTGCAGTGCAGACATGCTAGCGTGTGACGTCGCACGTCTGTGGTTGCAAGGGCTGGCAGCAACTCCTCTTCCTCCTCCTATCCGCAGCCAGCGAGGCACCCTTCTCCTTGGGGTGGGGCTCAGACTCAGAGGCAGATAGACTCTGCCTCCACACCGAGCTCCACCTCCCCGGAAAAGGGGAGCTTCACTCACTGGCTGCAGAGGGCAGAGCTGAACTGCTTTTCTTTTGGAGGCAGTGCCACTGCCACCTGCCAGCTTTTTCCATTGGCTTTGTGGGTGCCCAGCCCCCACAATCATACAAGGTGTGACCGGAAAGTTCAGTGAATGGCCACAGAAATTGGACAGCGGGAAATATTCGAAGATGCAATCAGCATCGGAAACCCACAATTGTGTACGGAGATGAAGCTGTAACTCGAAAGACAGTGTATGAGTGGTTTAAGCGTTTCCATGAAGGACGGCAAACCATTGAAGACGACCCTTGGTCTGACAGACCATTGATGAGCAGAACAATGGCAAATGTCAACAGAGTTCGTGAGTTACTAATGTAGGATCGGCATTTGTCCATCCGAATGCTGGTGGAAGAATTGCATATTCCGTATGAAATCATAACTGAGTTGCCCCACCATCCAAATTCTCCTGATCTGGCCCCACCAGATTTCTTTCTTTTTCCAAAACCGAAATCTGCCCTGAAAGAGCACAGATCTTGCAACATTTCACACATCCAAGCTGCTGTGACGAGGGAACTGAGAGCAGTACGAAAAGAGGACTTCTCCAGAAGTTTCCCACAGTTCTACGAACGTTGTCAACGGTGCATTGTATCAGAGGGGGCCTACTTTGAAGGCCTGTAAGGTATGTAAGCGAGGGTGGCTCTGTGGTCTAAACCACAGAGACTAGGGCTTGCCGATCAGAAGGTTGGCGGTTCGAATCCCCACGACGGGGTGAGCTCCCGTTGTTCGGTCCCTGCTCCTGCCCACCTAGCAGTTCAAAAGCACGTCAAAGTGCAAGTAGATAAATAGGTACTGCTCCGGCGGGAAGGTAAACGGCCTTTCCGTGCACTTCTCTGGCTTGCCAGAAGCGACTTGGTCATGCTGGCCACGTGACTAGGAAGCTGTCTGCAGACAAATGCTGGCCCCCTCAGCCTATAGAGCGAGATGAGCACGCAACCCCAGAGTCGGACCCAACGGTCAGGGGTACCTTTACCTTTAAGGTATGTATGTTCGAATATTTCTTGCTGTCTGATTTCTGTGACCATTCACTGAACTTTCCAGTCACACCTTGTATTACTGTGGGTGCCCAAGTACTCACAGTCCCCTGGAGATGACTCCTGTGTGGCAGATTGGGCAAAGGCAAACCCAGGCACTCCCACAGCCACCTTGTGAATCTGGGGCAAGGGCAAGATTCGAACCAGGGACTTCCTGACGTGTTGCTCACCCCCTTAGGTGCTATTTTTAACTTTGAGTCCGTTTAGTGACACCTTTTGTTTCTGAAGCCAATAGGGAGCAGGCTACAGCAAAGCAAATGAATGCAATATACACAGCTTTCAGTGATGTGCAATTGCAGTGGGTGGGTGCTCAGTTATCCTTGGCTGTGCATACAGAGGTGTTAAAAAGCGTGCAAGAATGTCTGAATAGCCAGTATTTCCTTGGAACTGAAACCAGCGGGTCTCTGACTCTAAACATGGGCTGGGCAAGGAACACTAAGAAGCCGGGCATGGGGAAGGCTTAGCTTTGCGCAGCCATGGCATGCCTTAGTCATGTTGCCAAAAAAGCCAATTCCCACAGCATCTGGTAGGAGGAGGAGAGCCACTTATGTCATGAAACTAGGTGTGTCTTTCAGCCCCCTTGCTTACAGTTGCTGCCTGTCCCTTGTGCCACTGGAGCTGAAAGACTGAGAAATGATGGATAGACAAAAGCTTGGCAAGGAAAAGAGAAACCCGGGAGCAATGTTTGCAAAGGGCTGTCGGTAATACCTGAAGGGTGTTTGCAAACCCAGAGGTGGGCAGAGCTGTGGTTCAGGAGGACAGAGGGGGAGGGAGGAAACTTTGGGGGCTGGAACAGAGTGGAGAGGCAGCTGCAGTTTAAGGCTAGATGCCTTGCAATAAAATCCTCTCTATGTTTATGCTGAATTAAGTCCCTGTGTGTGCGTTGGTAGGGCTTATCTCTAGGTAGCTGGGCACTGGACTGCAGCCTTGATGCTGCAAGGTAAGCGAGATGTAGGCCTAGGAATAGGCAGCTTAAAGTTCGTTCAGAAAGCTGCCAAATTGTCCACTTACAGGCTTTGTTTATTTTATTTAACTGAATGTATATCCCCCTTAATCATCCACAACCTCTAAGCGGTTTGCATAGCATATAAAACGCTTGTTGAAAAACATTGCTAAAGCTGACCATCAAAAGCAAGCTCTCAAATGTGCCAAAATATCAGCAGTTGTTAAAAATATACATCACAAAATAGAATTCTAAGTTAAAATTACAGGTCTGGGTAGGCTTGCTTAAACAAACGAGCAAAAAAGTATTTAGCAGCTGCAGAAAACAATACAGGGAAGGGGCCTGCCTAGTGTCAATGAGCCTTTAAAATATCTCTCAAATTATTGTTTTCGCTGATGCACCCCACCCCAGTCTCTGAGAGGTGTGAGATTCCAGGTTTCCAGGTGCACTTACTCAGGGTCTGTGTTTCCTTTTTGGGAATGAGGCACAGCGGAGACGATGGTGTCTTTAGGATAGATAAGTTTATTTACAAATACAGTATATACAACTTGAGCCTACAATGGAGGGTTTCACAGCACCGACACCCCAAAAGGGTCTTGTTTCTCCCATAGCTGAAACCTTGGATGCAAACAGAAATCAGCTCCCTAAACTTCTGAGTATTTTACTATGGCTAGTAAAGGTAAAGGGACCCCTGACCATTAGGTCCAGTTGTGACTAACTCTGGGGTTGCGGTGCTCATCTCGCTTTATTGGCCGAGGGAGCCAGCGTACAGCTTCCGGGACATGAGGCAGCATGACTAAGCTGCTTCTGGCGAACCAGAGCAGCGCACGGAATGCCATTTACCTTCCTGCCGGAGCAGTGCCTATTTATCTACTTGCATTTTGATGTGCTTTCGAACTGCTAGGTTGGCAGGAGCAGGGACCGAGCAATGGGAGCTCACCCCGCCCCGGGGATTCGAACCACAGACCTTCTGATCGGCAAGTCCTAGGCTCTGTGGTTTAACCCACAGTGCCACCCGTGTCCCTCCTTACTATGGCTGCCATACCCCAAATTCAGGCTTGCTTGTGAGGTTGTGGGGAGGCGGCAAGGGAATGAATCTGCACTGCCTCCTTCCGCTCCCTGCGAGGACACACAAAATATCTGCATGCGCTTTATCCATTATGCATACGCACATAGATGAATGTGTGTGCACTTGCATTCATGCAGTCCCACAAATGCAGGGCAATTCTGCCTCCTCCAATGGCTTTCCTCCTCCCTGTTACCTTTCCTCTAGCTGGAGTGACAGCGAAAAAGATAAGGACAGGGAGACTAGCGTGCCTCCGAAGCCAAGTGGAACCACTGACAATTGCCTCGGGGGCAGCAATCAGTCAAGTGTGCCAAGCCCAGGCTAACTTCCCACAGATCTGTTACTTGGCAAATGGCGCCTAAGCTGCGTTTGTGTGTGTGCACGCACATGCAACCAGATTTATTTCTCTGCTGTTTTTCGCAAAGGAAAGAGGGAGGCTATATCATGGCTCGGAAATCTTCGCCTGTCTTTCTGACCATCTCATTTTTGTCCTTGGTCACCTACAAATAAACCGGCTGAGTTTCAGAATCAGATATAGATGCGAAGGAGGAATGGATGTGCTGGCTGTCGTAAGTTGGGAAGGCTATGGGACATTCATGCTGAACGGACCAGTTACTGCGGAAAGGGAGCCATACATGTTCGTTTACTAGAGGTGCAAAATGCTCTTTGTAGGGCTTTGATGGAAGACAAGGTTGTAAAACACAGAGCCTGTCTGGTGGAAAGGGAGGCCTGGTGTACAACTGGTGGCATGTGTGCTTTTTTAAAAAAACTGACAGGCATTGACAGAACTGTGGGCATTGCTTTCTCCTCTGGCCAGTTTATTGCTTATTATTGCATTTCTGTGCCATCTTCCCTGCAAGCAGTTTTAGGTGGTGAGCGTGGTTCCCCTCCTTCCACATTTTATCTCCGCAGCAAACCTGTGATGTACGTTAGGCTGAGAGACAGTGACTGGCCCAAGTTTACCCAGTCAGCTTCATCATGACTGAGTTGGGATTTGAACCTTGCTCTCCTAAGTCCCAATCCAACCCTCTAAGCAGGCCTAGTGTTTGAATGTCCAAGGCCTATTTAATTTTTGTAACGGTCTATTCCATAAAATGTGTTCTTTTAAAGACATATATATCAGACCCTCCAAGTGTCCCTATTTTCCAGGGACAGTCCCGGATTTACAGAAGCCGCCCCGGTTTCTGATTTAACCCCGGAACGTCCCACTTCTCCTTTGGACATCCCTATTTACATGAGAGAAATTTGGGATGGTATGGAGTTATGTGACTCCTGAGCCAAGAAGATAAGTAACTTTACAACTTTTAGAGTCAAGTAGGTAGCCATGTTGGTCTGACACAGTCAAAATAAATAAATAATTTTAAAAATTGTCCAGTAGCACCTTAGAGACCAACTAACTTGTTCTGGGACGACAGAGGACGAGATGGTTGGATAGTGTTCTCGAAGCTACTAGCATGAGTTTGACCAAACTGTGGGAGGCAGTGGAAGACAGAAGTGCCTGGCGTGCTCTGGTCCATGGGGTCACGAAGAGCCGGACACGACTAAACGACTAAACAACAATAACAACTTGTTCTGGGTATAAGCTTTTGTGTGCATGCATCTGAAGAAGTGTGCATGCACACAAAAGCTTATACCCAGAACAAGCTTAGTTGGTCTCTAAGGTGCTACTGGACAATTTTTAAATTTTTAAAATTTATTTGTACAACCTTTAGAAGACATCTAAAGGCAGCCCTACACAGGAAAGTTATTTGATGTTTAATGGGTGGCATATAGATAATAAAATTGTTGTTGTTGTTACATAGGACATCCCTATTTTCATTGGTGAAATGTTGGAGGGTGTGATATATATCTGAAAATGCAATGTTCCAGAACCTGAAGGAGAGTTTCTTTTATGGAGGAAAGTCTTGGGATGGCCAAATCGTTGCCTGAGATAAAGTGAAGAGGGTGGACTACTGAAGTCTTGTCTATGCCTGGTCTCTGGCCTTTCCACTATTGCTTCACATTTCAGGGGAAAGCCCTTTGAACTGGAAGTTACAGGCTGTCCTGGCTATGGGGGAATTTGCCCTTTGCTGACCCATTAGGCGGGGATGTTGTCCTGGGATTGGGAAGCCCTAAAAGAGATTGCAGGCCAGCTTCTGAAGTGACTAATCCCAGCAGCATCTGGAGCAGAGATTCTGTGTGTCAAAACCTGAAGCGGGGTGACATAAGCCAGAATGGGGCCTGGCTTCTGTGAAGGCAGAGGAGAGATTTTGCGAGAGATGCGCAGAAGTCAAAATAAATTTCACTCCAGCAGCAGAGTCCCTGGTGTCCGTTTTTGGACCGGAGCGAAAGTTTCGTGTGGTTTAAGGACATGGGAGGCTGTTCGCTTTAATGTGGAAGTTCTGCGTAAAAGGGAAAAAAGAAATCTCTGAGGGCAATTGTGTGTCTGACTCAGAAAGAAATAAAAACCCGACTCTGTGAGATACATGTAAAAATGGCCACACACGTTAAAAAATATGTATACCCTGTCACATATTCCCCAAAACTAGCAGTTGACGTCTGGTAAAAAACAAAACAAAACTAAGATACACAAAAACACAAAACTAAGATACACAATATATATTTACAGCACTCTTATAACACTTTAACAGTACTGGTTTCTGCCAAATAATTTTGGGAACTGTAGTTTAAGAGTTCTGGCAATTGTAGCTTTGTGAGAGGTTCCCCAGCAACTCTCGGCACCCTTAACGAACGACACTTCCCCAAATCTTTTGGGAAAGCCGTGACTGTCAAGTTGGTATTTATAACATTTTAACTTTTCAACAGGACCTTTGTTTGTATTTTAATGTGGTTTTTATTCAGGCCGCTTTGGTCCGAAGAAAGAAATCTTAGCCTGAGTTTGAATTGAATAATATTAAACTCTGCGTATGTTCCGGTGAAAGAGCAGAATTGCTATTACTATTATTACTAATGATTGAGGATTATCTATAACTTGGCTTTTCTCCAAGGAGCTCAGGACAGCATACATGGCTCCTCTCTGCGTGTGTCAAAACCTGTGTGTGTGTCAACAACTCCTTTTCACAACTACCCTACGAGGTAGACCGGGCTGAGAGAAGGAGTGACTGGCGACTCTCAGCAGGCACCATTTTAGAAGAAGGCATAGTGTTCATTAGAACTTGTATTAAAAACAGATCTTTTTTAAAAAAATAATAATAATTGACTACAAGTTGCAGGACTAAGAATTTTGTTTTATGTCCTACTATTACTCCAAGGAGCTGGAACTGATTATTCCCACACCCTGCCCCATTTTATCCTCTTGCACAACAACACTATGACATAGCTCAGGCTGCAAGAGTGACTGGCATTAAATTAGGGGTGCCATACATCCAGATTTTCCCAGACATTGCCGTGATTCACCCTTCAAAAACGACATCCGAGGGGAATTTTTGAAAAGAGCTTGAAATGTCAGGGTGGGGGGAGCTCAACAACTTTGGCCAAAAAACAAAACAAACAAACAAACAAACAAAAAACCACAACAACTTTCGTGTCCGGATTTTCACTTTTAGAAATATGGCAACCCTAATTAAATAAGGAAATTTGGTCAGGAGGAGGGAGATGTTCCTAAAAATAGGGAGTTTAATTTTCCCATCTGAAAAGGACCAGAGGCATTCATATCTCACAGCAGAGGTGAAATTTAGAGGGGACCAGGGCAGGACTAGCCTGCTTATTTTTATTTTGGAGTCTCAATATTAAACCTGTGTGTGTGTGGCCCTATACTGGCATGATAACCTAGATAGATAGGTTTTGGAACCGATAATGACATTTTCCCTAGCTAAAAATGAAAAAGAGGGGTAGTAATGTGCCTTTTTCGAATCCCCACGACGGGGTGAGCTCCTGTTGCTCGGTCCCTACTCCTGCCAACCTAGCAGTTCAAAAGCACGTCAAAGTGCAAGTAGATAAATAGGTACCACTCTGGCGGGAAGGTAAACAGCGTTTCTGTGCACTGCCCTGGTTCGCCAGAAGTGGCTTAGTCATGCTGGCCACATGACCCGGAAGCTGTACGCCGGCTCCCTCGGCCAGTAAAGCAAGACGAGCGCCGCAACCCCAGAGTCAGCCACAACTGTACCTAATGGTCAGGGGTCCCTTTAACTTTACCTTTAATGTGCCTTTTGTTGCTATATGACAAGAATATGTTGTCCTCCAACTCTCTTATTTAAATTTGTACAGTGGTACCTCGGGTTACATACGCTTCAGGTTACAGACTCTGTTAACCCAGAAATTGTGCTTCAGGTTAAGAACATTGCTTCAGGATGAGAACAGAAATCGTGCTTTGGTGGCGCGGCAGCAGCAGGAGACCCCATTAGCTAAAGTGGTGCTTCAGGTTAAGAACAGTTTCAGGTTAAGTACGGACCTCCGGAACGAATTAAGTACTTAACCTGAGGTACCACTGTATTGGTATGTATTTCTTAATACAGTACATATAGATAAGCATGTTTCTTAAGAATGCAGACGTACAGATTTATGGATACGTCAATATTTATAATACATTGGAACACAATGATAAGATCTGATTGCCTTTCTGATCGCCACCCTTTTATCTTTAATTTCTTGTGTCATAAAATGTGTGTGTGTTTGCACACACGCGCGTGCGCGCACTTTTAATTACTTTTTCTTTAATAAAAATGAAGGGGGGGAAATACTGGATCCCACCCACTCATCCCACTGGGTGTCTTCGGTCAAGCCAGCGTCTCTCCGCCTAACCTACCTCACAGGGTTGTTGTGTATGCCAACTTAAGCTCTTTGGAGAAAAGGTGGGAGATAAATGCAGCAAGAAAATGAAAATAAGTTTTTGACCTTCTTGAAGAAACCAGAGGCCTTTCTCCTGGGCATAGTCGGCCAATTGGTGTTAAAGAAGGACAGAACTTTCTTTATGTATGCTACAACAGCAGCAAGAATACTTATTGCAAAGCATTGGAAGACACAAGACTTACCCACACTGGAGGAATGGCAGATGAAATTGATGGACTACATGGAATTGGCGGAAATGACTGGCAGAATCCGTGACCAGGGAGAAGAGTCGGTGGAAGAAGATTGGAAGAAATTTAAAGACTATTTACAGAAATATTGCAAAATTAATGAATGTTAGAATGATGTTGGATTGAAGTTAAGTGGTTTCTAGCTGTACTGGTATAAAAAGAATATGGAAAAATTGGTTTTTAATATGTAAAAATTTAATGTTATAATATATCAAGATTAAAGATTAGGATTAAAAAGGAGGGAAAGGAATTGCTGGATTAACAAATTGAATTGGAATACAAAAGAGGGAGGTATGAGGAGGTCTGGGAAACAAGTAAACGTAAAAGAAGTGATGAAAAGATGGAATTGTTTTTAACTGTTTTTTTCTTTTTTGTATTTTGTATTTTTCCTTTTTATTGTTAATTTTCTTATTAATGTGATTTTTCTTCTTTTGAAATTTTAATAAATATTAATTTTTTTAAAAAAAGAAAATAAGTTTTTGAAGGCCATATCGGCTGGCATCTTGGTCTCACAGGAGCCAACCAGTCGGCTCTGAGATACCCACAAGCAGCGCCTGAGCCCAACAGGGTTCCCCCACCCACTTGCAGTTCCCAGCAGCCAACCTCTGCCTCTCAGCCTAACCTACCTCATAATCATAGACCTGTAGAGTTGGAAGGGACCACGAGGGTCATCTAGTCCAACCCCCTGCAACACAGGAACCTTTTTGCCCAACATGGAACTCAAACCCACAACCCTGAAATTAAGAGTCTCTTGCTCTATGGGATACAAACCACACAATTATACAAGAGCCCAGCAAACATTATAATGCTTCTGGTTTGGTTTTGTCTAGCTTGCCTCACGGCCTTGGCACTTAACGGGCCCAGGAGGATCCACAATTTGACGCACGATGTGTCAGTTGCCTCATAACATCTGTTCATGGGCTCCTTTCTTCTTGTTTGCCAACCGTGTCTCACAGATGCCCCTGGCCCTGTTTTATAACCCAGGGATCCCCTTATCAGCTCCTTGACTTGCCTCCTTCAGTAACGCATCTGACCCACATCTTTGACCCCTGGCCATCATCTACTCTGATCCCCTTCCTCCTCCTCCTCCTCCCGGCTCAAACACTCTCCTGTAGCCCAAATCCACCTTCTATTCTCCATCTCTACCCTCCCCATCTCACAGCTGGACTGCCCCACCCTCCAATTTTCTTCCGAAGTTCACCCAGCCAGATTACGAAATACAAATCCCCCTGCCTTCCCGCCCTGCTTTTGCAGGGGGGAAAATCCTTTTTCTACTGACAGCTGTTCCTGGAAATTCTCCGGGTTTGTCCCCACCCTCCGTGCAAAATGTGAAGAGGCATCGTGGCAGCCGCCTTGTGCGCGCTTTCTCGGGAGTAAACCCATCAAGGTCAGGGAGGCTTACTTCCGAGTAAACGCACGCAGGAGGATCATTCTCCAGACGGGAAAAAAAAGTGCTCAACGCGAGTTGAGCACCATATCTTTAAAAAAATAAAATAACCACAGTCAAAGCGCACCCACCCACGTGCCAGGAAATCCGGGAACTGCCGTTTGTTCAGAGGGCTGGGAACGGTAGCTTTGTCGAAACTACAGTTCCCAGAAGGGGGCTTTAAATGTTTGCTGTGTGCGGGGTTCAAGGCTTCTCCCCTGACTGCTAGCCTCGATCCCGCCCTTCTAATGCTGGATGCCTAGTGCGTCGGCCAGCTGCGCTTTTACGCAGCTCGAGGGGCAGTGCACTCCGCACGTTCTCAGGAGCACTCTTTTCCGGCACTGGAAATCCGGTTCCAGTTAAGTCCCAGCTTGAGAGTTGATAAAGTAGCCGGAGACTCCTTGGAGGCTGCAAAGCAACGTGTGCGAATGGATGGGCGTGTTCCACCACGGGATGGGGCTCAGACCCTAAAACGGCATTACTGGGGCGTGAGTGATCCCAATGACATCAGATGGGCCCCAGCCCAGCCTTGACGCACGTCAGGGGCCGCCTCCCCTCCAACCCGCCCTCCTCCTCTCCCCCCCACCTCGCGAGATTCAAAAGCTTCCCCGCCAGACATCAAACAAACCAGACTTCCCCGCAACCAAACCCGGATCGCACACGGGCTCCGGCCGCCCCAGCGCCGCAGGTGAGAGACGGGACAGCGAGCCTGCTGCTGGAGGGTGGCTGGGTGGGGGGGCAAGGTCTCGTGGGACAGGGAGCCTGGGCGTCTTTTGCTTTGAGAGAGAGGGGGGAGTGTGAGCTAGTGGTTTAAACTGATGCTGAATTGGTGCCAGGGCTTGACCCTGGATGGCCACTCAAAAGAGAGAAAGCCACCGCGCCCTTGAGCACATGCAGAGTGCAATTCACTCAGCCCTGAGTAGCCACAAAGAAGCCCCTCTGTATGGGACAATTAGGACTTCAGTTGGGTTAGTATTATATTTCAAGGGCTTTCAGTTGCAGTGGTATTTCCAGAGGCGTTGAAACGCTGCATCCCTCCTTCCCCCACTCCCCAACCTAGAAAAATAAGCTCTAATGTTGCTGAAGGGATGGAGTGACTGGATCTTAAAGCCCCAACACCAGGGTGGGGGCTGGTGTCCTGTGTATATATGAATACTTCAGATTACTTGATAGATAGTTGGAAAGCTTTTTAAAAAATGTATTTCTGCCCCTCCTCGCCGTTTGAGTTGGTAACTGAGTGCTTAGAATTTCCTTGAGTTCCCTTCTCCTGTGTTTTGCTTTAATGCACTTTGAGGTGCCAATTATGAGTTCCTGGTCCAAATGAGCAATTGCAATACGTAGGCTGGGTTGATTTAACAGGAGTAAAATAAGGTGCGTGTTCACCTGCCCACTTGCTGCCAAAACTCCACTCCTTGTTGCAACAGAGCTGGAAGTAGCGGTTAGTGGTTGCAACCTGGAATGTGACTTGAAAAGCCGTGATTGAGCTGCTCTCAGGGGGCAGCAGGAGAGCCTAGTGGTCAGTGCAAAGGTGGGAGCATGCAGGTCTAGGGCAGCTTGGGGGGTGCGTGTGGAGGCTTGCTGTGTACACTTCAAGGAAAAGACTTCAGCTGCAAGACACGTACATGTCTTGATTTGCATAACAAAAGGTCCCCAGTTTATCTCGGTAGCATCATCCAAGGATCATAATGTTGGTTGTGAATGAGCTGGCACAAAGGACTGGCAACAACACTGATAGTGAGGTTGCCGAGTTCTGAGCCTGCTGCCACATTGATTGATATAGGTTGGCATGAATGCTGATGCCTGCAGAACCTATCTCAGTCTGGTTGGTACTTTGATCTGTCACATATACCTGAAAAGCTGGGCTGGGAGATCTGTACTCCAGAACACCGATTCTTGGAAGTCTGATCATGCCAAGCAATCCTCCAGGGGTGGCACTTTGCAGTTTTCAAGGTACCTTTTAAGAAGTGGTGGAAAGGAGGGTTTTCTTTTCATGGTGGTATAATAATAATAATAATTAATAATAATTTATTATTTATACCCCGTCCATCTGGCTGGGTTTCCAACCACTCTGGGCGGCTTCCAACAGAATATTAAAATACAATAACCTATTAAACATTAAAAGCTTCCCTAAACAGGGCTGCCTTCAGATATCTTCTAAAAGTCTGGTAGTTGTTTTTCTCTTTGACATCTGGTGGGAGGGCGTTCCACAGGGCGGGTGCCACTACCGAGAAGGCCCTCTACCTGGTTCCCTGTAACTTGGCTTCTCGCAGTGAGGGAACCGCCAGAAGGCCCTCAGCGCTGGACCTCAGTGTCCAGGCAGAATGATGGAGGTGGAGACGCTCCTTCAGGTATACATACATGTGCCACTGCCTGTGGTCAGACGGTTTGGGGAATGTTTTTGGGAAGGGATTTTATTGGAGGCAAAAGTGGTGCCAGTGCCCACTGCTGCCTGCTCCCCTCTGGCACAGCAGCAAGAGAGGAGGCTGATGGAAAAGAAGCTCAAACCCGTCAGCCGCCTCTTTCATCACTAGGTCTCCAATGCAGCAATGCGAAAAGGGTGAAGACTGCCTCTCCCCATATAAACCGTCCCGGACTCTGTGTTCATCATCTGAGGCCCTTCTTTGTATGCCTCCTCCACATGAGGTTCGGAGGGTGGCAAACACGAGAAGGGGCCTTTTCTGTAGTGGTTCCCCATCTGTTGAATGCTGTCCCCAGGGATGTTCGCCTGGCACCTTCATTGTATATTTTTTAAGGCTCCAGGCGAAACGGTTCCTGTTCAACTAGCTGATTAATATTCTACTTTAGAATGTGTTTAAAATGTGTCTGTGGGAAGGGGGAAAGGAATTGTTTTGCTGGTTTGGTTTAATTCTCTTGTATTTTATTCTGGGAACCACCCCGAGATCTTTTGGTGAAGGGCAGTAAATTAATTTAATAAATAAAATAAATATAAATAAGATCAGCGTCGGAAGTTAGGGGGCAGTGAAGATCAGCGTTGAAAAGGGGGATTGAAAATGGGCATGGGGGAGAGATTTCCAATATTTCCCAAGTGAAGATCAGCATCAAGAAGAAGGGGACAGCAAGGATCAGCATCAAGACCGTGGGGTGTGAGGAGCCTTGGCTGCATATAAAAACAGCACCCCTCACATACTGCAATGGGGGAGGCATCAATTTCTGATTCGCCTCTGGTGCCCAAATGTCTGGGGCCAACCCTGGTTCTATCAAGCCACAGGGGCAACTCTTTATTTGGCTTCCTGGTATGTCTGTACACGTATGATAATCTGGGCTCATGTAAGCTGCGTGTTTGGGGTCACCGATGGTTGTGTGCGTTCACCACCGAGGGAGTGCAGGACCAGGCTTTTTGGAAGGCCAGTTCCAAATGTTGCTTCGGGTTGCTCTAGCAGCAGAAGAGATTGGAGTAGTGGTGCATAGTGGTTAGAGTGTGGGATTTGCTGTTCAGTGGTTTGTAGAGAAATGCATAAGCTAGACAGGGGTCAGCAAACTTTATCAGCAGGGTGCCAGTCCACTGTCCCTCAGACCTTGTGGGGGGCCAGACTATATTTGGGGGGGGGGGGATGAACAAATTCCTATTCCCCAAAAATAACCAAGAGATGCATTTTAAATAAAAGGATACATTCTACTCATGTAAAAACACACTGATTCCCAGACCGTCCGCGGGCCGGATTGAGAAGGCGATTGGGCCGGATCCGGCCCCAGGCCATGATTTGCCTACCCATGAGCTAGAGGGCTCCCTAAAGGCTTGTGGCACAAAATGGGGGTTTTCTTCACTGATGTGGGGGTGTCCACAGGCTGTCATCCCAGTGCTGTCCTGGACTTTTCTCCCTTTAAAGGTGTTTGCTTGTTTATCATTGGAAAGTCCAAAATGGCAAGGATCAAAAACTCTGTGTTTAAAGGGGGAAAGTTTCTGGGACAAAACTGGGCTGGGGTCCACATTTTGGTCTGGTGTGGATAAGCCCTAGATTTTACCAGCGGCTCTGAGAGGCCAGGAATTCTGGGTTTGACAGTGCAATCTTATTCATGTCTACACACTTGAGTTCGGTGAGACTTGTCTTTAAGTAAGTATGTGCAGGATTTCACTTGATATTTGCGGTTAAAATAGGAGGAAGGAGATTTTCATGTGCTGTTGCAGGAAGGGGCAAGCAAGGGGGAAAACAACAACAGGATTTCTGTTCCATTTGCTAAGTGGGGTGTGCAAATGGTATGTACTGTGTCAAGCACTTTGTCATTTATTTATTCAATGACCCGTTGGTGTCATTTGCTGTAATCTTTTTGAAAACGCCTCTTCCTTGGCTCTATTAATAATTTTTTATAGAGTTAGCCTGAGCCCCTGCCAGGAGGTTAGTTTGGAGTGGAGGAACCTGGAGAGAAACTTGTGTAAACATTTAATAGTGGCACCAGCAATCTCCAAACAGATTGGCTATCGCCCTCTTCTTGGGGGGTGGGGGGTTGTTGCAGGCTAGCCAGGAGCCCTGTCCATTGTTGGCTTTAATGCAAATCATGGCTCAGCCTCTGGTTGGGTCCACCCATATGTGAAAGATGGGATAACTCGGCAGGTATATTAACTCTGGGTCTCTGGTGCAGTACATCATTCTTGCCTGTAGGTGATGTACACACCCCAAAGGTTCAAGATGACAGATTTTGGCTAGGGAGAAAGAGACAGCATCATCTATGGTAGTACAGTGGTACCTCAGGTTAAGTACTTAATTCGTTCCGGAGGTCTGTTCTTAACCTGAAGCACCACTTTAGCCAATGGGGCCTCCTGCTGCCGCCATGCCGCTGGAGCATGATTTCTGTTCTTATACTGAAGCAAAGTTCTTAACCTGAAGCACTATTTCTGGGTTAGCGGAGTCTGTAACCTGAAGCGTATGTAACCTGAAGCATATGTAACCCGAGGTACCACTGTAGTCTGTGCCTAGACTTGCAAGAAACCACAGCCTTTAAAGTCTAAGCACCAGGGCTTTTTTTTTCCAGGGGGAACTCATAGGAACTCAGTCCCGGCCCCTCTCAGGTGGGTGCCATTGCCATTCTAAGAGATTTTATGCCCCTTCTTGTGCTTCTGCACTGGTTGCAAGTGAGCATCTCAGAATGATCCTTGGAGCTGGCATTCCTCATTAAATCGGACACTGCTCTGAGCCCATAGAGAGGTTGTTCCTTTGCCCATAAATCTTTCACCCTTTGAGATATGCAGGTGAGGCCATTTTCTATATCTCTTAGGGACCAACAGTAAACACCAGAGCCGTGTGCATTGAAAGCTGAAATTTATTTATTTTTAATGCACCCAGGAAATCCAGATTCTGCAGCTAAGAAGCTGAACAATGTGACTTTTGTAAACTGTGCAAACTGGGGGGAATCCTAAGTTTTGCACATAATTTATTCTGGCTTTGTTAATCATGGGAAATAACAAGGGACTAAAGCCCCTTGACCATTTCACCTCTCACTCTAGAACCAGCCCCACAGCAGTCTTTATTAAATTTGTCCAGAGCTGGGTGTTCCCATTCCTCAGGGTGTAAACCCAAATGGGGAGACCGTATTTTTTTTTTATTGCCCCTTTGAGATTACTGTACCTGGGTAGTGCACTTAGCAGCCTTCTGCCATCTGCAGTGGGTTCCAGCTTTTATACCTCCTGCCCAGATGCCAGCGGGTACAATCCCCATGCTACAAGTTGTTGATGTGGGGAAGAAAAGTCCAGTGAGTCGCAACTTGCCATAGTACTCACCTCCTGTTCTCCTGCCCACAACATTTCTGCACTCTTGTCTGTTGGCATGAAGCCGCTGTGGGCTTTTGGGAGCAGGGGTCCAGGTGGCACAAATCTGCCCTCCCTGCCTCCCTGTCTTTCAGCCATCTTCTTTCCCCACTGCCTCTGAATAGTGCCGTGTGTATTCTTGACCTGTGGATAAATGTTAAATACCGTATTTTTCGCTCTATAAGATACACCAGACCACAAGACGCACCTAGTTTTTGGAGGAGGAAAACAAGAAAAAAAATATTCTGAATCTCAAAAGCCAGAACAGCAAGAGGGATCGCTGCGCAGTGAAAGCAGCAATCCCTCTTGCTGTTCTGGCTTCTGTGACAGCTGCACAGCCTGCATTCGCTCCATAAGACGCACACACATTTCCCCTTACTTTTTAGGAGGGAAAAAGTGAGTCTTATAGAGCAAAAAATACAGTAAATACCATCTGCATGCTTAATGGGTTTTTAATAGTTTGTTTTGCATTGTAATTGTTGTGTTTGTTTTGTGTGCTGCTCAGAGAGCACTTACGCGGTGGGGTGGCCCCATTCCATCGACAATAAATTCTCCTGAGAACAATCCAGCTCACTCACTACCTTGACTATTCCTTCCAGGGATGGATGTCACTATACTGCCAAAGGGCGTTGTCTCTATCGGACGTCGGATCGTCACCATCGGCTTTGCGCTGCTCATACTGTCCATATTGGCATGGGCCTACATTTCGGGGAACCAGCTGGCTTCCGACCGGTACCACATTATGGCATTTGGCCTCTACGGGGCCTTCCTCACGGCCCACCTCATCATCCAGAGCTTCTTTGCCTTCCTGGAGCACAAGAGGATGAAGAGGGACTCTCTGACTTGCAGCTACACCAAGACGGTGGCTCTCACCATCTCCGCTTACCAGGAGGACCCGGCTTACCTCCGTGAGTGCCTCGAGTCTGTTAAGGCGACTTTGTACCCTCCAGAGAAGCTCCGGGTCATCATGGTGATCGATGGCAACAGCCCTGACGACCGGTACATGATGGACATGTTCCAAGAGGTCTTTGCTGGGGAAGACGTGGGGACGTTTGTCTGGGAGAACAACTACCACCACCAGCCTCTGTTGGATGTAGACGAAGGGGACAGCGGCTACCAAGCCGGAGATGAGCCGCCTGTCTACAGTGAAATAGATATGGACGACCTCGGACAGCTGGCCGTAGAAGAGCTGATCCGGACCAAGAGATGTGTCTGCATCATGCAGAAATGGGGAGGGAAGAGGGAAGTCATGTACACAGCTTTCAAGGCCCTGGGCAACTCGGTGGACTACGTCCAGGTAAATGGCTCCTATCCGGTTGTCTCGCTTCCTCATTTGTTTTATCCCATCCCGCAATGTCCTCCAGGCACAACCCCAGTCAGGCTGAGAGATAGGGACTGGGCCAAGATTTCCCGCAGCAGAGAAAGGCTGTTGAACTTCAAAGGGGAATTAAAGCAGAAAGTAGGGAGGAGATGGTGGGAAAGGCAGAGATCCTTGCCACATGAGTAAGGTGCTAGCTGTAGGACTTGCGTTCGACCGAGCGACTCTTCCGGTTGAGTCCTCTGACGTGATTACCGACCTGAGCCTTTGATGAGGCTCCAAGCACGTTCCCCCATTACGCAGAGTATCCAGCACACAGGGAAGTAGCCGAGATAGTATGACCTACATTGCAAAGAGTGTTTTATTTCTAACTACGCAGACAGAAAAGAAATGTACATGCTCTGTCTGTGAAAGCAGAGAGCAGCTGAACAAAAAAGGAACAGGAAACCAGTAATGTCACATCCGTCTTCCGTGAGACTTCCAACAGTCTGGAATGTCTCTGGAATGCAAAACAGAGTCTTGTGACTCCAAGAACTGCACAGTGGCAACACACAGAAACCTAACACTAGCAGCAGAAGTGGCAGGGCAAATGGCCCTAAGAGGGAAAGGGAAGGGGTGCTTGAGTTTGCCCGTCTCCTGTGCCTGCTGCCTGAAACGGTTGTCTCATTCCACCTCTTGAACAGCCCTGCCCTGTATGCTAGCCATGTGTCGTGCCTCAGCGTTTGCTTTTGAGCAGAGGTTGGACGGTCAGGGTTGCTTTAGCTGAGAATCCTGGGGTTGGACTAGATGACCCCTGGGGTCCCTTCCAGCTCTGCAATTCAACAATATGCTCTCCATTCTTCTCTGGCTGCACATTGGAAGATCAGCAATTATGGGCAAATGCGTCTTCCATTGCTGACCTCATTAAGGTGCTCCTGGTCAGCTTACAAGGAAGCTTGTGGTTCCTCAGTATAGACCTTGACAACCGCTGAAGTGTATACTTAAGTGCATTCTGTGATTTCTGCAGAAGCTCAGAAAAATACCAAAATATGGCATTGGTTGCAGGGTTCAGCATTCTGAGACAGGGATGGGATGAGGCAAGGCGAGGCACCGAAACCTCTGTTTCCTGACCCACACAAATCCCACTGAGTTGTCTTCTTCTCCAGTTATTGACTTATGCCATAAGAGCTACGAACTTGGTTTATTTAAAAACAAATGCTCGGTTGCTAGCCAGACCCTTGTGGCTTGTTAAGATTGACCTTTTAGAAGTGTGCGAGTCAGTGCCTGAAGAGAGCGTGCTTCTGCGAGTCAAAGGGAGCGGCCCCTAACACTTTACTATGGGAAGCATCATCAATTGTGCAAAATACAGAAATATATGGAAATTTGCTTAATTTGCACAGTCCAGCTTATCTGGGAATAGAATTTATTTTTCTTGGTTTTGCCTAGTCATGCTACCTATGAACTATCTCCTCTCCTACTACCTCTGGGCTTTAATATCTAATTTGACCCTTTCAAGCTTATTCTGAAGGGCGCCATGCTGCCCTTAACTCTGGAGGCATCCCTGGTCACCAACTAATTTTGCCGGAGTGCCAGACTGACAAAGCAGAAGAGGAGCAGCAAGCCAAAGTCTCTGCCCCTGCCCCACCTTTGTTTCCAAAATTGCCTCCTGCCAAATCCCACCAAATCCAGATGTTGCTCTTTGCCTCACAGGCTGGCAAGGAGTGGACCAGATGGCACCTGTCTGCAGGGTAGATTTGTCCTGGGGTTTCCAGTTGCTGACCTTTCATGTATATACTCTGGGGGTGGGGGCGGGAGAGATCGAAACCTTGTCCCAAGGAAACCCCAATTCTTCACCAAGGGGGAGGGGGAAGCGTCTGCAATCCACATGAATCTGTTTATCTAATTTTGTTTACGCATTGCTTCTTCTTTAGCATCTCAGAGCAAGTACGTAATACAATAAAAATGTATATTTTAAAAACTGCCTGTAAAAATGCAGTTAAAACAATTGCATATATAGAAATGATTTCAACTCCAATACAGATGCCAAGAGGGATTGCCACTTAGAAGTATTATTGAAAGAGGAAAATGTTCAACATGATAATTATCCTTATTAAGCCTTATTAAACGTGTAGCTCATTGCTTACTTTGCAAAACCTAAGCTGCTTCCCCGGGTTGTAATGAGGAGCAAAACTCGTCAAGATGGTGAAGTTTTGCCCTTTGACCTCTACCCATCATGTCCTACTCTCAAGGTCCCACCTGTATCTCCATCGGCTTCTTACCTGGCTAACCATATAACCCAAATTTCTATCTCTCTTTCAATGTAACAGATTATTGCATCCATATCATTAACTGTGCTTTACAAATTAGTTTTCATAAGCTTCCCCTCCACTCCTTGCTTCCCAGCCATCTTCAACCAAACTATTGATCCACTGTATGTTCTGCAATATGAGCCATTCATTCTCCCTCATTTGTACATCACTCATTAGCCAAAGAAGTATCATTTCTAACTTTGGGGGTGTACAAAATGCTTTATAACTTTTTTCCTGTTCTTATCCTTGCATTAATTGCACCCGTTTTACAGACAAGGCAAGCAAAGACTGATTTGCCTCAAGCCAGTCAATTAATCACATAAACCGAGACAGCGTCTGAGCTGGGCTCTTCCCCTGCACACACTCTGTGCTCTCCCCCATTGCATCACACTTGTCACAGACACGAATGTTGCTTTTTTGGGAAGCTTTTCATACATTCTCCGGTTTTGCCACAGACCCTGGGACACTTCACACATGCATGTGCATTACTTAATTATTGTGCACTTAGCAGTTGCACACTGGAAAGGATTGTGGCGTTGACCAAGCTATGAAAGTGTCAAAGCTGGGGCATTTCACCGCAAGCTTAGTCATCGCTCGGTGTCACAATTCTCCAGTGACGACTGTGCAGATGTGTGAATCAGCCTTTGAAAGTGTAAGTGCTCTGGCTAACTTTCCCCGTGTTCTGTAAATCGAGCTTCTGGCAACTTGGATCTCTCTGGCAAATTCTAGGGGTGTCCCTTCTCAATCTCCATCTCTTGGCCTCTCCCAGGTTTGCGATTCGGACACCAAGCTGGCCCCAGATGCAACCCTGGAACTGGTGAAGGTGCTGGAGTCGAACGAACGCTACGGGGCTGTCGGCGGGGATGTGCGGATCCTCAACCTCTCCGACTCCTATATCAGCTTCATGAGCAGCTTGCGATACTGGATGGCCTTCAACATCGAGCGCGCCTGCCAGTCTTACTTTGACTGTGTTTCTTGTATCAGTGGCCCCCTGGGTAAGACTTCCCCTGTGCATTGGTTCCGCCTCCTTACTTTCAACAGGAAGCAGTTTATTCGTTTGATCAGAAAGCTTGTTATGTTTTACCAGCCTGTTGTATACAGTGGTACCTCTGGTTGCGAACGGGATCCATTCCGGAGCCCCATTCACAACCTGAGCAGAACGCAACGCGCATCTGCGCATGCGTGGGTCACGATTCACTGCTTCTGTGCATGTGCGTGACGTTATTTTGAGCGTCTGCGCATGCGCGAGTGGCGAAACCCGGAAGTAACCCTTTCTGGTACTTCCGGGTCACTGTGGGACACAACCTAAAAAGATTTAACCTGAAGCGTCTTTAACCTGAGGTATGACTGTATTTGTATCAGGAACGCGGGCAGCACCGTGGTCTAAACCAGTGAGCCTCTCGTGCTTGCTGATTGGAAGGTCGGTGGTTTGAATCCGTACGACAGGGTGAGCTCCTGTTGCTCTGTCCCAGCTCCTGCCAACCTAGCAGTTCAAACACATACCAGTGCAAGTAGATAAATAGGTACTGCTGCGGCGGGAAGTTAAGCGATGTTTCTGTGCGCCCTGGCACTCAACAAGGAGTGCCGTTGTGCCACGAGCAGTTTAGTCATGCTGGCCACATGACCCGGAAAAGCTGTCTGTGCACAAACGCCAGCTCCCTCGACCTGAAAATAGAGATAAGTGCAGCACCTCATAGTCAAATTTTACTGGACTTAACTATTCAAGGGTATTTTACCTTACGTTTGTATCTCACCTGTTTTGTCCCCCACTATAGGCCTGTATCGGAATGACCTTCTGCAGCAGTTTCTAGAGTCCTGGTACAATCAGAAGTTCCTGGGTACCCACTGCACCTTTGGAGACGACCGGCACCTCACCAACCGGATGCTGAGCATCGGCTATGCCACCAAGTAAGAACATGTGGATACTTGGGTTTTCTGGAGCAAGGGTGATGCAGAATGAAAAATGGCAAGAAGATGGGAAAAGTGCAAGGAGACCGCATCTTGTTGCTCCAGCTCCCATGAGCCCCAAAGCAGCACGGCCGCTGGTCAAGGATGATGGGAGTTGTAGTCAGTGGCATAGTGTGGGTTGCCAGTGCCCGGGACTATGCAGAACAGGGGGGATGGAAACGGACAGAATAGGCATGCGCAGTTGCAGAGTTAAGAAAAATAGAGTCATTCCGTTGTCTGGAGAGGTCACTTCCTGGTTCATATGGAGAAGCCGTTTTCAACAGAGCCCAGAGATGGAACCGGGCACTGAAATTTTGTGCCCCTAACCATTTTGCACCTGGGGCAACCGGCCCTGTGCCCCCCGTGGTATACCACTGGTTGTAGCTCAGTAACATCTGGAGGGCTGCAGGTTCCCCATTCCTGTTCCAGACGAAATTGAATGAAGACCATATTATATTCTTAATTTCTCCTTTGTGTACCAGGTACACTGCTCGCTCCCGCTGCTACTCGGAGACACCGTCCGTGTTCCTGAGATGGCTGGCGCAGCAGACTCGCTGGACCAAGTCCTACTTCCGCGAGTGGCTCTACAACGCCCTCTGGTGGCACCGCCACCACCTGTGGATGACCTACGAGTCGGTGGTGGCCGGGATCTTCCCCTTCTTCGTCACGGCCACCGTCCTGCGGCTCTTCTACGGGGGGAACTTGTGGGACATCCTGTGGGTGCTGCTCTGCGTCCAGCTGGTGGCTTGCGTGAAGGCCCTTTACGCCTGCTGGCTGAGGAAGAACTTCATCATGATCTTCATGTCTCTCTACGCCGTGCTCTACATGGGCGGCTTGCTGCCAGCCAAATACTTCGCCATCATCACGATGAACAAGAGCAGCTGGGGCACCTCAGGCAGGAAGAAGATGGTGGGGAACTATATGCCTCTGCTGCCTGTCTCCATCTGGGGCCTGCTGCTCTTGGGAGGCCTGGTCTACACCATCTACCAGGAGGCCCTGGCTGACTGGACAACCGAGGCCAAGCAGACCGAGATCTGGTACCTGCTCATTGGCTCAGCCATCTATGTCGGCTACTGGACGTTCATGATCATGCTTTATTGGCTGTGGGTGCGGAGATGCTGCCGGAAACGGGTGGATTTCTATAGTGTTCAGGTGTGAAGGGCCTGGGGGGGGTTCTGAAACCTGACTGTAAGACAGAATCTCGGACCAGTGAGGGCTTGGGTGCTCACCCAAGGTCTAGGAGTGAAGAGTGATCTCGTAGGAGCCACTCCTGGCTAAGAAATGATGAGTTCAGTGTCCTGTGAGTTTCCACTCCATCATGTGGTCTGTCAGCAGAGTGGGTGTACCCACTCCTTGGGTTCTCTTCTAGGACTAGAAGTCCCAGGGTTGCCTGAATCTCAGGGAGGAGATCTTTTACCCAACAAGACGTGAGGATCTCCTAGCCTCCTCTTCTCTCCCTCTTTGGCTGCTAACGGTCTAGGTCCTGGGAGATGTTTCTGACCTCAATTTATTTATATAGTGTTCGAGTTTTTTCACGTTCCAAAAAAAGCCAAATGTTTGCCTTCTCCTCCTTCTTGAAATGCAGCCATCTCTGGGGTGGGTCAGCTGGGTGATGCGAAACCCCACAGGGACACCTGACGCACAGGAACCAATCTCATTGCACTGAAATGCCACTGCAGATCCAAGTCATGAGTGCTGCAGCCACTGAGCAGAGAGACAAGGATGGAGGGATGTTGGCCAATGGTTGCTGTTCAGTTGACGCATGCAACAGGTTGGCTCTGACTGGGGAAAGAGGGAGGTGGGTAACCTCCTTTTGATGGAACTGGAGACCAGACCTTGACACACATGAATCCTGCATGACATAAAAGGATTCTCTTCCCTCTCTTTTTCCCGCAAGAAAAAGAAATCCCTTAGTGCTATGTCTTATCTTGACTTGTTGAACACTTGATGGTTACAGAAGAAACACAGTTTACAGTTGTGGGACAGAAGCTGGAAGCTTCTGTCTTGGTTTTTGCTTTGTTTGTTTTTGTTTCTTTCACCTGGAAAGGAAATTGGCATTGTGGCTGAGAGGGGAGGGTCAAAGTCGCCCTTAATCACCTCTCTGTTACTGTTTTTTAAATTGTAATGTTGACCATTGGAGTTTGGGGAGCTCCTTTCTACAGGAAAATGAAGGAGCGTGATATTATTTATTTGCTGTATTTTAATAATAAGGGCTATTTAATGGTTGTTGATGTCTTTTTAAAAAAAGAAAGAAAATTGAATAATGAGGATTTTTAAAAAAAATGTTATTTTTTATAAATGGTATTAAAAAATAAAACATATTTTTTTGGAAAACTTTTCCTTGGTGTGCTTGCGTTAATTTCACTTTTGGAGGGAAGGTGGAAACTTTGCTATCAAATAAAAACAGTACTTAGCAGTTTTATAGTACTTTCAGAGGTTCAAAGCACTTAGCATGCAGTTGCCTTGTGATCTTTACAGCAGCAGTGAATAACCTGGGTTTTTTGTTTATATATATATATATATATATGAAAAATATAAACATATTACAAACATTAGTTCAAAATCCAAATATCAAAATTGCTCTGAATCTCTTCCCCCCATCCCTTTCAAGGGTCCTAATGTTAATATTTACAACTGCATATCAATATTTATCCAAACTTTTATCCTTCTAAAATATCCATACTTTCCGTTACTTTCAAGTGTGGTTAAAATTCTGTTAATGTTTTAACCTGCTTGCAGTGGTCTCATAGGTAAATTATAAACTTTCCCCAATCTTTTTCAAAGTTCTTGTCTTCTTGAAGAACCTGTTGACCTACAGATGTTGTTGGACTACAATTCCCATCATCCCTGGCTATGGGCCACATTGGCTGAGGCTGATGGGAGCTGGAGTCCCAACATCACCCACCGGTTCCTTGTTTATCTTCTTATTGTAGATGAGTGGGACTGGATCTAAAGTCAAGAGAGGTTGTCCTCCTTAAGACCACCTGGTGAGTTTGTGGCAAAAGGAAGACTGAAAACAAAGACTTGATGATTTGTAGCTTGGCCACTTAGCCACAAACTCCTGCAGCTCAAAACTGAAATGAACAACAATAATTGTGTTAATTTTATTTGCTAATTTGTTCAAGAGCTCTAGTACCTGATATGCATAAATACACCAATAACAAAAAAAAGGTGATTGCTGCAAGGCTTCTTATCCCAGGTCCAATCTCCAGTTTATAGTATTAGGTAGCAGTTGGTTGGAAAGGATTCGTAGATTTGTAGCAGCGATGGAAGGGATCGCCAAGGGTCATCTAGCCCAATCCCCTGCAATGCAGGAATCTCAGCTCATCCAACCTCTACTTAAAAACCTCCAAGGAAGGAGAGTTCACCACCTGAGAGCGTCTGTTCCTCTGTTGAACAGCTCGTACCATCATTGGTTCAGGTCCTAGCTTCTGGAGCTGGAGAAAACAAGCTTGCTCCATGTGGCATGTAACAGACTTTGAGATATCTGAAGATATCTGAAGATGGCTATCATATCTCCTCTCAGTCTCCTCTCTTCCAAGCTAAACATACCAAATTCCCTCAACCATTTCTCATAAGGCTTGGTTTCCTGACCCTTGATCATCTTGGTTGCCCTCCTCTACACACATTCCACCTTGTCAACATCCTTCTTAAATTGTGTCACCCAGAATTGAATATAGTACCCCAGGTGTGGTCTGAACAAGGCAGAATAGAGTGGGACTATTACTCCCCTTGACTAGGACACTACACTTTTCCTGGTACAGCCTAGAAGAGCAATAGCTCTTTTTTTTTTTCTGTTGCACTGCTGGCAAACCAGATGTCCCCCATCTTATATTTGTGCAGCTGGTTATTCCTGCCTCAGTTAAGAACCTTACATCTGTCCCTATTGATCTTCATTCTGTTAGTTTGGGCCCAGTTCGCCAATCTGTTTAGGTCATTTTGGATCCCGGTTCTGTCTTCTGCACAATTAGCTACCCCTCCCAATTTGGTGTCATCTGCAAATCTGATGAGCATCCCCTCGGTTCCTGCATCCAAGTCATCTATAAAGCTGTGGAACGGGCCCAGGACAGAACCCCACGGCACCCCACTTGTCACTTTTCCCCAGGATGATGAGGAACCATTAATGAGCACTCTTTGGGTTCAGTCAGTCCAGCCCACAATTTACCAGCTTCACCACAAGAATGTCATGGGGAGCGTTATTGAAAGCCCTACTGAAATCAAGATACACTACATCCATAGCCTTCCTCTGATCCACCAACCTTTTAACGCTAGCAAAAATAAAGAAATGAGGTTCGTCTGGCATTACTTGTTTCTGTAACCATAGTGCCCTTTTTTAAGCTTCCTTTTCTAAGTCCTCACAGACCAACTGTTTAATTATGTGTTCTAGGATCTTTCCCGGTATCAACATGAATCTTCCTAGATAGCTTTCTGGGTCTTTTTCCCCCCTCTCTGTGAAGAGTCTTTGTTATGTTTGCTGCTAGGCAGAGCAAAGAAGAAGATAAGGCAAATATTCTGACCTGCCATAAGGCAGCATCCTTTGGAAAATAGGGAGCTGACATGTGAGGCAGTTGGAGGATGGATGGCGGTTAACAGATTGAGGTTGAATTCTGACAAGACAGAAGTATGGTTTTGGGGGAACAAGGGGCAGGTGGGTATGGAGGACTCCCTGGTCCTGAATGGGGTAACTGTGCCCCTGAAGGACCATGGAGGCGCAGGTCAATTCTGTGTCCAGGTAGGCTGTCTACCAGCTCCATCTTGTATGCAGGCTGAGACCGTACCTCCCCATGGACTGTCTTGCCAGAGTGGTGCATGCTCTAGTTATCTCCCGCTTGGACTACTGTAACGCACTCTATGTGGAGCTACCTTTGAAGGTGACTACAATTAACCCAGAATGTGGCAGCTAGACTAGTGACTGGGAGTGGCTGTCGAGACCATATAACACCGGTCCTGAAAGGCCTACATTGGCTCCCAGTACATTTCCGAGCACATTTCAAAGTGCTGGTGCTGACCTTTAAAGCCCTAAACAGCCTTGGCCCAGTATACCTGAAGGACCGTCTCCACCCCCATTGTTCAGCCTGGACACTGAGGTCCAGCTCTGAGGGCCTTCTGGTGGTTCCCTCACTGCAAGAAGTGAGCTTAGAGGAAACCAGCCAGAGGGCCTTCTTGGTAGTGGCACCCGCCCTGTGGAACGCCCTCCCATCAGATGTCAAGGAAATAAACAACTACAGTGGTACCTCGGGTTACATTACCTTCAGGTAACGTAATTTTGAGTTACGAACGCGGCAAACCCGGAAGCGTATGTTTCCGGGTTTCGCTGCGCGTGCATGTACAAAAACAGCGCCTCCAGATATGGACTTTTCAGGGTAAGTACGGACCCCTGGGACAAATTAAGTTTGTATCCAGAGGGTCCACTGTATCTGACTTTTTGAACACATCTGAAGGCAGCCCTGTTTAGGGAAGTATTTAATGTCTGATGTTTTATTGTGCTTTTAATATTTTGTTGGAAGCCGCCCAGAGTGGCTGGGGAAACCCAGCCAGATGGGAGGGGTATAAATAATAAAATATTAATACTGAATTGGCCCTTTGGCCCATCTAGTTCAGTTATTGACCACAATGACTGGCAGCAGGGTTCCAGGCAGAGAACATTCCCAGCTTTACCAGGAGACTGAAATCTCCAACTTGCTCACTTTATTTCAATTCCGAAAATTCCATGCCATGTTGCTTATTTGCCATGCCTTTCCCCCCTCACTGCCCGCCCCAACGGTGCGCCATTCCTGAAGCTGTACTATCGCAAACTGAGTCAGTCCTGAGGCCCCAACGCTAAGCCTTTGGTGGGGGAGAGCTGAGCCCACAGTTTTCCAAAGGCCTGCTCTGGCCCCGAGCTGTTGCAACAGTTCACAAGATTTCTGTCTGCTTCCCCTCATGCCTTTGCTGACTCACATCTCGCACAAGCCACTCTGGCAGCGAAGGAGCAGGAGGAATTTGGAGCAAAGGCAAGTGAAGGCTGACAGGATTGCAGCCCAGACGGGACCGTGAAGGGACAAGAGGGAGATGCCTGTATATTCAGGGGAACTCCGAGGTTTGCAAAAGTGCAAATAACTTTTTTTAGAAAAAGCAATCCCCAAAGGTTCAAAAATCCAAGCACCAGCCCAATGATGGCTGAGATACGGAACATCGAGGGCTCATCCAGATTTCATTTTGTGCCATGTTTCTAAGCACAGGTTTGCACTGTAAAGTGCCATGTCTTAGGGCTTCACGCCACTCCTTGCCTGTGGTTTTCCTGTGAAACCCTGCTTTTCCTACTGAATCGGAGCAAGCATCCTAAACTGTCATGGGGAAATCACTGAGGCAAAAGAAAACGCCTGGAAACGTGAGGGAGAGTGGAGTGTCCTGCTTGATCTCCTTAATCCAGCGAGGAAGAACCTGCAGCCTGCCAGATGTTCCTGGACTGCATACACACCATACAGTTAAAGCAAATAATCTTGAGAACTGCAGTTTACCCCTCACAGAGCTACAATTCCCAGTACACAACGCAAACAACAGTTCCCAGAACTGAGAAAACCCTTTAAACGTGTGGTGGGCGTGTAGACTCGGCTTTCTTTTTTTCTTTTTTGAAATCATTTTTATTTGATTTTTACAATACAAAGTTATAAAAATATGAATACATATCCATATACAGTTATACCTTGGAAATTGAACAGAATCCGTTCCGGAAGTCCATTCAACTTCTGAAACATTCGGAAACCAAAGCACGGCTTCTGATTGGCTGCAGGAAGCTCCCGCAGCCAATCGGAAGCCGCGGAAGCCCCGCCGGACGTGCGGCTTCCAAAATAACATTCGGAAACCAGAGCAGTCACTTCTGGTTTTTGATCGTTCGGGAGCCGATTTGTTCGTACAACTACTGGAGTCTCATTTAAACATTAAAAACTGCATCTTCTTCCCAACTCTATTATATCAGTCTATATTTTCCATGGCAATTGCTACACTACAAGTGAAATCAAAATCCTGCCAATGTTTCCATCTGCTCATAGTGGTCTCTTAAATAACTTATACCGGTGAATTTTTCCCATTCTTTTGTAAAGTTTTTGTCCTCTTTGTTCCTGAGTTTTCCAGTCGGCATTGCCATTTTGGCATAGTCCATCACCTTGGTTTGCCATGTGGAGACTTGGTTTTCTCTCCAGCGCCCTCGAATCCAAACTTTTCTGATTTGAGTTGGCAAAGGGTAGTGACCGAAAAGCACCCCAGAGGCTAGGAGGGTGGTACTCAGTGAGCAAAATTCCTGTTTGGCTATGGTATTTCCTCTCCCCTGAGTCCATGTCTCTGAATCCTA